AATAATAATAATAATAATAATAATAATAATAATAATAATAATAATAAAAACAATATAAAATCTAAAATCGTATTTTCTTTTTTTTTTCCTTTTTACTTCTATTCGACCAGTTATTACTTACGTTTTGATGCAATTTTAAACATTAGGGCCGGTGTATTAGTTTTAGCTGACTGTCCGGTTCCCAAGTCATTATCAATTGTTTCCATGGCATTCACCAAGTTGTCCTCCAACTTCTCCCTGGTAAACAAAAAAACATTGATGATTTTCAACCTGTTAACTGGTTACTTAATGAGCATCAGTGTAACTGTCCACATCAGTGCCTGCGGAAAACTAATTCAAAAGTGCAGTTGAAATAAAAATAATCTCAAAAAGATTTAAATAAACCAGACATGCAGCACTTATAAAAGGCATAACAGAACTCCTAAGAGTTTTGTCAAAAGACACATAATAGAAAATACCGAAGAAAAAAACATCCAGACATAACAGCACAACAGAGAATCCCAAAAGAAAACACAGTAAATAATGAAAACATATACAGGGGCGTAAAAATAACCACAGAGCGATGAAATACAACTAAAGGATGGGCAAAATCTCCAGACATATTACATGACTTCATTGACACAAAAATAACTAAATGACACAAAAAAGCCACGTAGAGAGGATCTTTTGTGTCATTTGGTGGTTATTTAGCAAATGGAGATAAATGCTAAACGAAGTGATGCAGCAAAGTTACGACAATTTAATGAAAACTAAAACGACCCCTCTAAAGATGAGTATAAATGGAAAAACAAACAAACTGTGCAATGCAAAATTACCACAAAAGAAAAAAAAAGTAAATAAAAGATAAAGAATTAAAAACGGCATCTTTAAATTAAAAAAATTCTGGTCATACAAATAGGTCTGATGATGTTGACTACCAGAAATGATGACATCTGATATTGACACGTACGCAAAGAGTAACAGTAAAGGCGTTTTAAACGTCGCACTTCTAAGGTATAGAGAACAAAGCATCAAGTGTAACTAAAGCTATGCAGAGATATTGAAAGGATCTGTCACTTAGTGTGTTGAGTCTGAGAGATGTATTCTTTTTAGCCACTGTTTAGTTGCTGATGACAGAGCACTTTTCTGAAACAAAAATCTAAATGAAAAGTCCAATAGATGAACATCTGAAACATACCCTTTAGTGAGCGTCTGAAGATGCAAATAAAAGTTAAACTTCAGTGTTCTATCATTTGTTCAATGTGTTCAATTGGTTCTAGGTATTCAGAGCTGTAGCACTTTTGATTTGCATCTCATTTTGGAGATCAATGCCAAACAATCCAAAGTCAGTGCTTTGGTTTTTAAATTGTATACCGTTTACTTTAATTCTTTTTCAAAATATCCTATTAGTATAAGTATGATCTCTGTTATTATTAAACTATTAAAACAATTATTTCAATGGTTTGGGAAAAATCCAAATCTTCATCTTTAGAAATTTAAATTTAAATTTAAAACAAAGACCTTTGCATAAATTAGGCAAGTTGTAATAAATGTTTAAGATCACACAAATTAAGTCAAAGTGGTAGCACTTTCAATATATAATTTAAAAACTATAATGTGCAGCCATTTGTGGTGCTATTCTTTTTTTATTGTGATGTCTGCATAAAGTGTAAATAACAATTAAAATGAATATAGAGTAGCAGTCAAAAGTTTTCACATGTATTAATTCTTTAAAGAATGGATGTGTCATAACCTATGACTGGTAGGGTAAATGTTTGCATTGTGTCACTGGCTGAGATGTTAACATACTGTTCCACAGCTAGCTCCAGTTCCTCAATCTTCTTTTCCAGAGATGACTGCAGGCCACTCTTATCCACAGAGTATTCCACAAGGAATGCTTCAAGGACAAACGCCACAAAAATACTAAAGGAGAAGACACAAGGGGAAAACATGTATGAAGCAAGAATAGGTAAAGGGCACAAAAGGATGCGCAGAAATGTCTTATCAATGGAATGAATTTAAATTTAAGATAGTCTCTAGTCTCTGAATTCTGGAGCCTCTCATGTCTAAAAGCAAGCAGACAATAAATTATGAAAACTAAATTAAATTATACATTAGCATATTCTGTTCACCTTTATAGAGAACTATCAATCAGTCAGCTAAATCATCAACAAATAAATCTTAAACTCAAGATGGAAAAAAAGACTTGTTATATGATTTTTGTATCTGCACATAAAGCCTGGAAAAACAGAACAGAAACTTGAAAGCTACTGTGGGCCAAATTAACAGCCCAGACTATGTAGACTACATATTTTGAGTGATTTTGTGAATGATCATAGGGAAAAAGATCGATCATCAGATAATCAGCTTAACTTACTTAATAATGATGATGACAACAACAATGTGGAAGACGACAAAATAGATCCTGGCTGATACATGGGTCACGGTGGCAAAGCCGCTGCTGAGCAGTGAATCTGGTTAAGGTGCGTTTTCTAAAAGAAAGGTCCTCCATGCAGTTTAAGTAGTATGCTTAGTAGTAGTTCAAACTAAATTGTAACAATTATGTACACAAGTTCTGCTGACCATTCTAAGTTACAAAACCCAAATAAATGCAGCAACATCACCACCAGAATCACATGTTCATTAAAAGAAGGATATCATGCCACTGGTTGACTACAGTGAGCTCCACCAGTAGTATAAAGGAAGACACCACATTGTTGAAGTTGTTCTTACAGTAGTTGAACTGTGCAAAGGCTGTTCCTTTCAGCAGTGGGTTTCCACAGTAGGCCTTAGCCGGGTTGGTAGTGTCCTCATAAAATTTCACTTTATCTTTAAATAGTTCCATTCCCACCATGGCAAAGATGTAGTATACAACCTGCGAAGGAGGACAGTAACAAAGTCTAATGATAGTGGTTTTTGCTATCAACCTTTTCAGTTTTGACAAAAGTTTCTTTGAAAACTGATTAATTCATGCTCCCATCGTGATTACGTAATAATTGTGGTGATCATCTGTTTTTTCTGTATTGTGGCATCTGAAACACCAGATTATTACGTTAGTTTATGAAAAAATATTTGTAGAACTGTGGGAAATTCATACAGAACTTTGTTTTTCCATGTTAAATAGAAATAGTTACAACACTAAATCAGCAAAAAATCCTGAATATAAACAGTAAAATATGTCTGCATATTGAATATTCTAGCACATTGACATTAGAGCTTTGCAGGATTTTTTCTGAGAGATAATTGTTAGTATACTACAGTTCTGGTCGTTTGCTTTTTGGGGGAAATTTGAAGACTTTTAGATATATGCAAATATGCTTTTAAAAAGTCACTTACAATGATGAGCTGCCCAAATGTGAGGATGGCTGGTCCAATCCTGATCAAAGTGTTGAAAATTGTACGAAATCTGACAGAAAATATAATCTGTATGAGTAAAGCTCATGTTCAGACACAAAACACCATGCATGAACAGGTTCCAATCAAGACAAGATATTATTATTTCATTAAAACATGACAACACAGAGGCTATAAAGCTGTCTATAAAAAGCATCAGATTTCTTTTGAAGAGCTAAACCTTTCAATACTGTCCACCACTCGGATAAGTCTGAGGACTCGAAGGATGAAGACGATGTCCAGGATTTGTCGACTTGTGTATTCTTCCACTACATAAGGAACAGAATAATTATTAAGATAGATGGACAAATCTTAATGGACAAAAAAGTGTTTACAGTTATAGGGCATCGGTCAAAAACGCAGGTCATATGAAAATCAGGTAAATCCAGAAAGCTTTTTTCACATATATAATTCTAAAATGTTATTATGGTAGCTGTTTGGTTTCCCAGTGTTGAAGCACAACCGTTTTTTGCTTTTATATAGGAGGTAAATAGTGCTTACTTGACTTCAAGGAGGAATTGATGACAGTGGCAGCCAGAGCAGAGACGACAATGATGGTGTCAAACCTGGACAATATCAACTTGCGTTAGAAAATATAAATCTTACATTAAATGCTTCACTACTTTTCCGCCATGTTGATGTTAAAAGTAAATACACCGTTGCTTAGCTTATTTGTTGTCACATAATGTCAATCTATCATCAACGTGCTTAACTACAGGAACATTGAACATATTTATTGAGAGAGCTGGATGTCCCAAATGTGTGTCTGCAACCAAAACTGTATTTGTGACTAAAACCACTGGCAGCACAGAAATTATAAATGAATTGATGAATGCAAAACCATATTATTATTTTCTAATATATTACTTTAAATGAGTGTCATTTGTGGACCAAAATAAAAACTATTGACTGTGTAGAGTAAAACCCAGAGGCAAAACATCACAGTGGCTTGTTATCCTTAACAATTCTTACAGCTTTATGAAGAAAATAGGTCTGGTAATTAATCAGTTAAACATGGAAATAAAAAGGTGCAAATATTTTTGGCAGTTGTCATTATAACTGCATAGTTTAGCTTAGGGGACACACGATTGCAAAACAAAAAAATTGCTATGGAAATCCATAAAAAAAATCCACAATTGGCTGCAACAAGAGTTTCACTATTCAGTAGAAAGGAAGGGAATGATAAGAAAAGAAAGCCAGAAACCAGGAATTAAGCAAAAGCAAAAAGCATCAATGAGCTGGTCCAAGCGCTTCTTGGTATTTGACTCAAAATAATGGAAGCAGCTGAATTAAGAATGTGGGATGCTGATAAACTGTGTGAAATAGATGTGACACATCTTACTGATTTTACATTTTTGAAGTGCACATTTTGTATTTGAATGAATATTAAACAAAAATATACCCTTGAGTGCACAAATATACATTGGGATTTTCTTTTAACCTATGATCTAGCTTCTTTTGCAGATAAATACAAATAATTCATTTTCCATTCCCGCTTAATCCAGTCTATTCCCACCTAACATTCCAGCTGTCATTAGGCAAGGATCAGTGTACATCCTAGATACATTCTTAGTCTATAACAGGGCCACACAGAAACATGGCCGTCATTACTTTTGTTGGGGTCAATTTAGAATCTCTAATTTACCTACCATGCCCACTTATGCATGTGGATTTCAATCTGGAATCCTCTAGCTGTGAGGTAACAGTGCTAACCACCATGCATTCCTTATTTCAATTCTGCAAGGTAATACCTATTAATAAGCTATCACATGACAATATGTTATTTTGTGCCAAACCTACATATTTGAAAGAAAACAGGTATTGATTTGATTTCATAAAGGTCCTCGAAGCATTTAGAATATTAGTTGTTTAAAATGGAAATAGAAGTTACATTTCACAAAGTATTTTTAGTTGAAGGTTGATGCACATCAGTTCATCCTCACCAGTTCCAGAAGTTATGTTTGGAGAAGAAAGCTCTGGGTTCAAACACATAGAGTTTCAACATGATCTCCAGCAGATAAAGAGCCAGAAAAGCCCATTCCGAGTTAGAGATCATCGGATTGTCCTCATCCAGACCAATAAACACGGCATTCACTAGGATGATTATGTCATAAGCGATCACAAAACCCCTAGAAAGAGAGGGGAAAAAAAGCCAGTTATAAAAATCTGTGACTGAACCACTGACCATAGTTTTATTCCTGTATTCTCTTTGACGCTGAAAACACCAAACAAATGGCCGCACAACATTTTGGGTTTCGTAATACTGCTCATCTTACCGGTGTCTGACGATTCTGAAGAGGAGACGGCTGGGAGCTGACTGGTAGAGTGTGGGGAATAAACTTTGAAAAGGATGTGGCCTTGACTTTAGGGTGATAACTTCTATGTTCAGGAGGTCTGCCAGCTGGGTGAATGCCACCTTACCTGAGTGTCAAACAAAAAAAGAAAAAGACACATCCATCACTACATATGTAACCTGGCCAGAATCATACTAAATTCTCCAAACTGGACATAGACCTAGAACTTCATTTCCTTTTGTGGATATTTGTTTAACTAGACTCAAATAGGCCTTGGCACTCTGCACATGCTCTTCCTTTTTCTTTTCTTTTTTTTGTATAATGTTTTAACTCTAACTGTAATAACTAAGCTGGACTGTCTGTCAATGTGTAACTACACTGACAGCCATTTAATATAGTAACACCAGGAAAAGCCTGATCAAAAAAGCATTTAGGTGACAAAGACCCAATATTGCATTTCAGAACTACAGGGGTTGGACAAAAAAACTGAAACACCTCTCATTTTAGTGTGGGAGGTTTCATGGCTAAATTAGACCAGCCTGGTGACCAATCTTCATTAATTGCACATTGAACCAATAAGAGCAGACTGTGAAGGTCCATTTAGCAGGGTAAGAGCACATTTTTGCTCAAAATATTGCAACGCACACAAAATTATGGGTGACATAACAGAGTTAAAAAACGGACCAATTTTTGGTGCGCGTCTTGCTGGCGCATCTGTGACCAAGACAGCAAGTCTTTGTGATGTATCAAGAGCCACGGTATCCTGGGTAATGTCAGCATACCACCAAGAAGGACGAACCACATCCAACAGGATTAACTGTGGACGCAAGAGGAATCTGTCTGAAAGGGATGTTCGGGTGCTAACCCGGATTGTATCCAAAAAACGGAAAACCACGGCTGCCCAAATCACGGCAGAATTAAATGTGCACCTCAGCTCTCCTGTTTCCACCAAAACTGTCCATCGGGAGCTCCACAGGGTCAATGTACACGGCCGGGTTGCTATAGCCAAACCTTCGGTCAGTCGTGCGAATGCCAAACGTCGGCTTCAATGGTACAAGGAGCGCAAATCTTGGGATGTGGACAGTGTGAAACATGTATTGTTCTCTGATGAGTCCGCCTTTACTGTTTTCCCCACTTCCGGGAGAGTTACGGTGTGGAGAAGCCCCAAAGAAGCATACCACCCAGACTGTTGCATGCCCAGAGTGAAGCATGGTGGTGGATCAGTGATGGTTTGGGCTGCCGTAGCATGGCATTCCCTTGGCCCCATACTTGTGCTAGATGGGCGCGTCACTGCCAAGGACTACCGAACCATTCTGGAGGACCATGTGCATCCAACTGTTCAAACATTGTATCCTGAAGGAGGTGTTGTGTATCAGGATGACAATGCACCAATACACACAGCAAGACTGGTGAAAGATTGGTTTGATGAACATGAAAGTGATGTTGAACATCTCCCATGGCCTGCAAAGTCACCAGATCTAAATATTATTGAGCCACTTTGGATTGTTTTGGAGGAGCGAGTCAGGAAACATTTTCCTCCACCAGCATCACGTCGTGACCTGGCCACTATCCTGCAAGAACAATGGCTTAAAATCTCCCTGACCACTGTGCAGGACTTGTATATGTCATTCCCAAGACGAATTGACGCTGTATTGGCCGCAAAAGGAGGCCCTACACCATACTAATAAAGTATTGTGGTCCAAAACCAGGTGTTTCAGTTTCATTGTCCAACCCCTGTATATGATTTGAATTTCCCTCTATGGTCGACGAATTGAGTATTTTTCTTTTCAAATCTATTGTATTCTAATAAAATTCAAGTTTATAACACCACAAATAGATGAAAGCAATTTGAAAAGATACATCTATAAATATGTATGTAACAAAAGAATATTGGTTTGTGTTAACTCACCGATGAAGCCTTGATTCTTGTTATCTGAGACGCTCCATAGAAGCTCTCGGTGAGCGTTATTCATGTTAGGCCGGACCTGTTGAACAAGCTTATTCCAGTTGGGCTGTGTCACAACGGGCTGACCACCCTCTTCTTTGTGCTCCTGCAGAATGGCAAATGCTCTCGCCATCTTGTGTCGTTTGGCCCTCACCAGCTGCTGTACTTCCTGCTATTTAAAAAAAAATAATAGAGGGTTGACACTAAGCACCAAGGTCACATTTGAAAGTGACAACTGTTGCATTTTTGCTGTTGGTTAATACGTCTTCCTTGATTTACACTAAAAAAATCACTGTCACTGCATTCTACACAGACAGAAATAATGAACACTAACAATCAATAGCAGCAAACAAGATGGTAACATTGATTTACATTCTTATAATTTCTTTCTGTTACATCATCATTTTATTCAATTTTGTTTTGCTCTGTGTAAAATATGGATTCAGAATTGTATGTATTGTAAATAAAAATCTGGATCTGGGTTCTAGAAAATTGTTACCCAAGAAGCACTTCTAATTTGGAGCTTCTGTTGAGACCATGTTTGGATGATGCACATTTCTTTAAAAAAAACAGTCATATTAGCAGTGCTAAACAACCTGACCTGAAAAAAACTCTGTTAGGTACCTTCAAATATTTCTTGTAATTGTTGTACACGACAGCCAAGAAGACAGACATGAAAATGTACGTGTTGATGAGGATGTACAAGATGAAGAATATGCTGAAAAGAAAGCTGGCGTTGTATGCAGGCATCCTGCAATTGAGAAGTAGATAATACAATGTAAAGGCCTAATAAATAATAAGATACAGAGTCAATGCAGAAATGTGTGGGGAGGGGTCACTTCCTTCTTCTTTTCTGAGCAGCTCATTTGGTTCCCTTTCTACCCAAGGAGCAAAAGAGTTGATTTGGTTGGAAACAGCCTGAAAACTGTTCCCCTAAATTACGAAATAAACGCAACAAGAGACAATGAAAACTGCTCTTCAATGAGGTGCACTCACAATAAACATGGTGACAGATAGAGGTGCTGAAATGAATACAAAACATGAGTATAATTTTTAAAAAAGAATTAAAAAAGATAATCACTTGTTTAGAAAAATATTCTGCATTATAATCACATCTGGGGAGCATGCTCAGTGTTTGTGGTCCAGCTCTTCATAAAATGGACAGGTGACATGTGCAGGGAGCTCTTTATTTTTCTTTGGCATTGGAGCCAGGAATGCTGGACCGAAAACACTGAGCACACTCGCTACATGTGAAGCTATTGCATCCTCTACTGTGCACGTGGGACACTTTCAGGTTTGCTTGCAATTTACACTGGAGGGTCCATATGAGTCGCATATATTTGGAAATGTTGAAATCAACTCAATTTGAAAGTCTTTAATCTCTTAGCAAATTCACTGAAAATATTCTGCAAGTACTGTTGGATTTTTAAGACTTTCAGTTTGGCAGTGTATTTTTAATCAGTAAAATTTTGTAAGAATTTACATAAAGTAACTACAATGTTTCCTTACATGACATCAGGGCTGTTGGCTGTGGTGACGAGCACATACAGGTCAAAGACAATGTCCAGGTAACTGGTAAAGTATGGACCTCCATTTGTGGTTGTCAGACCTCTGTGGACAAAAACCCCAAAAATCATTAATTCTCAAACATAATCATAATAATATACAATGATAACAAGCGCACGCACACATACGAGCTGGAAGCCCAAATTATGTAACAATGTAGAAATAAATACTTGAAATCATTTTAATTGTGGGCCCTGAATCTATAATCTATGAAGGTTTACCCTTTTTAATTGAATTATGGAAATTAAACAACTTGTCAATGATATTAATTTTTTGTGAAGGTTCTACGCACACACTCGTACACATTAAATGGTAATAGGAATGGCAACTATCTCACCGTTTGCCAAGGAGTTTGAGGGCCATGAGGGAGAAGATAAGAACACTGAACATGAACAGCAGGAAGACATAGCAGATCTGAGGCAAAGCATTCCGGATGCTTCTGAACGCTCTGCGGAGCTGAACACAAACAAACACACACACACTGGCAAAGTTTATGCCTTTTCTCTCAAAGGACACAAAATATCTGATTTCCAACCAGACAACGAGAGGCCAACTATGCATTTGGGCACTGTCAGCTCATTAACTGAAACTTTATAATGTTTGGTAGAAGGGAGTTTCCCCCTCTTATACTTTATGTGCCAGTCTAGGTGTGCTATCAACTTAGTTGCATTTACAATCCTATGTTGTATCTTTTTTTAATTTTCTCATAGGCATGCTCGAAAGGAACAGAAAAAAGGAAAAAGGAAAAATAAAAACAGTTTCCCATGATAAAAACTTTTCTTTGGGGGGATTAAAACACTTAATCTAAAACCCTACAACAGTTGTTTTACCTCAGGTATATGTGTTTAAAAAGAGAATTAACAATGGAGTACATCTTAAAGAGAAATATAAAGTAAACCGTTGCACAGTGTGTATAAACAGTGGTTAGTTTGCCATGAGAGCAGGTACTTCGACAACTTTTAAATTTGAATTTGATGTGAGCATGAAACCATGACTGTGGGTTAAGATGTCCTTACCTGCCGTCCTTCTGTGATGTTGACCAAAAGTAGTGGGCGCAACACTCTTGACCAACGGACACTGTAACAGTTTGCAGCATTTAGTGCTCCATAGATGATCATATCAATCAGAGTGAGCTAGTCAACACACAGAGGTACAGAGTCATATATTGCTATTTTTCTAAATATCTAACAGTTTATAAAAAAGTATTAAGTGGTATAATTAGCCTTTTGACTTGCTGTTATATATATTTAAACACACACATATACATACATACAGTACAAACACACACACACACATATGTGTGTGTGTGTGTGTCTATGTGTGTGTGTGTGTGTGTGTGTGTGTGTGTGTAAATATAAAACCCTGTTTTTAAAAGGTGCTGAGAAAGCACTATCTTTCGCTAAAGGTTGCTTAAGAGCAACAGTATTCTCAGCAGATTCTAGCCCTGCAACAGACAGGAAGTCAGGTCAGCACACTGCATTTCAGCTTCCACACCAGAAAAAAAATATCCAGAGTTTACAACTTATTCACTGCCAACAGGAAAGAAAAATCCAAGCTTTAACATTAACTGACATGTAGTTTAAGAAACCTTTAAGAAACTACAATCCACCAAAATGACTATTGTGGTTCCTATTTTATTTGGCTGTAAAAATGTTTTGCCTGAAAAGCCCAAAATACTGATAACAACAAACACGTCCATAAAGTATGATATAACGTCTGATGTGATCTCATGAAACCAATTAAATCATTAAAGAAGCACTTTAAGATGCTTTTGAAATACAAAATACAGATAAGTGCATCCCCCTCGCTCCTACTACAGTGTCGAAGTACATGAATCCTCATACCAAGAGAATAACGATGATGCAGATATTTTTCAGGTCCTTCCAGAATTTGTCTTGAGGAATCACCTTGGCGTAGTGAACAAGGCGACAAGTGAAAACCAGCAGACAGAGCAGCTCAACCAGCATGGTGGCCTGAAAACAGCACAGCACACATGATATAGTCCAGTCCAACTACTAAATGTGCTCTGGCTTTATCAGAAAGAAATCTGTTTCTTGTTAAAACGATCATTTGTAAACAGCTCTTCCAGGTAATATCCATCTTCAGAACCAAAAAACATCAAATAACTTTAGCTCTATTGCTTTTGTATTTTTTGGCTGAAATAAAAAATGTTTTGGTATCTCGGCTACGCTTCTGTTTGGGTAGAATTTACGAGCCCCCGCATAAACTAATTGGTCACAGGAAAGTTATATGCAGTCAAACTTCTGCATCCTGGTGACATTTGTTTGAGGCTGTGTACTCAATCCAACTTTATCAAACAAACTAAATAAAAAATGTTATTTGAAAGGCTGAAAATCCAACTCTTAAGTAAATCTGTGTTTGAGAGCTAAAACTGTTCTGTTAGCTAGACTCTTTTTTTTTTTAAATGCAGTTTTAGTTGGGTTTTTCTTTCAAATCAATCGAGTGGTGTAAAGATGCAGTACTTTTTGGTTGCTTTTGAGGACTGACATGGACATCTACTCTTTTAATTGGAAACTAGAACTTGCAGCAATTATATCATGTCAGGAACACAGCTACATTGTACTAAATCAATAAGGGAGATTGTCCAAAAACCTAAAGTTCGGTCAAAGCCATATCAAACACCAGAAAAAAATACTTTTACAGCTACAAAAATTATAAGACCAAGGGATTTCTAAGCCTGTTGTTAGTCGATATTTTTCAAATAGTTACAAAACACATGTGGGATTGTGAAAAGCATTTTACTATTTAAATGCGGAACCTATTTCTTTTTATTTAATTGGAGTTGTACGTCATGCTCAGCCTGTATCCTCATGCTGGAGGTGACATAGTAAGATTACATATTTTGAGTTCACTGCTGAGTACTTGTCACATTTACATTAGCATTTAGATTCATGAGCAGTTTTAAGAGTTGGAAGAAGATTTCAGGTCATAAATCTTATTATTGCCCGCAAAGGCACCAAAAATTTGGGAAGTTAAGGTGCTTTTGAAGTGTCTGACTTATTTAAATGCTTTGATAACTGCTGAGCAACAATTCAAAGAGTTGAAGACAATCAGAAATCTTAGAACTCCCTTAAAAATCTATGTTCTGAGCTTCTAATTCAGAAAACCCAGTATGAGTGGAACAATCTGCAAGCGCTTTTAAAGAAATTAGTATACATTGTTTCCCCAGAAGCACTCCAGTCTCTATTATCCTCAAGAAGCCCCCACAACTGTTTTGATGACTGCATCTGTTATGTGTTATTCAGAGAAAACCACCATACCCAAATAGGTAATGGGAACACAGCTGGTTCCTCAAAGATGGCAAGACACAGGTTGACCAAGATGAAGAAGTAGACGGCCACCTTTAGCGACCAGTGATTATAAAGAATATACAGTCTGTAAACAAACACAAACACACAGTTGTTTTGAGAGGACACTTATGACTTGACTGGAAATTTGGCCTAATTGATGACCTTTATCTAATCTTTCATTTGTTTTCATGCATGAAAAATCACTATATATTTTTTGTATATAAACAAGTTACACAATGACATAAAAATTAAATAAAAAAAGTATCAAAACAAATAAAAAAGAACTACTAACAAACAAACTACAGCTCTAAGAAAAAGAAGAAGAAACACAGTGGAAAAAAGATCTTCCCTGGGATACATTGAAATACATGAAATACAAAGGCAACATTGCAGATATAATGTAGATCAGACATTGTGAGAACTCACCTCACAGCCTGAGGGGTTGTGTCAAAGAAAACATTTCTGTTGTACTGGGCATCTGACACATAAATGGTAGCAAGGTCGAAATCCTGAAACACAGTCGCCATTAAGATATTGAGGATTTTTAAATGGAATTGTACGTCCACTCCCTGTATTTGAAGTTTTTGGGAGTTGCACAAGGAAAATTAACATTTAAGATTGCACCTTGTATCTTGGATACTAACTAGCTTTCTTAAAATCTGATGATTACCTATTTGTACTTTGTCCAAAATGAGAGGATGTGCTCCCGCCCCCCCCCCCCCCCCCCCCCCCAAGAGCTATATCATCTCAAAACACGAGAGAATGCAATATAACAATGCTGTTGTGTCTCTGTTTTTCTTTTTAGTTCTGACAGAAAATGCGCCTTCGTTCACTATTTAAATGCTTTATGAGGCTTAAAGGACAAGAGTCCATCCCGTTTACTGCGGTCATGTGAAAAAGACAAACCAGAAACGTCTACTAACAGGAAAAAAAAAATCCGAGGATTGCTCTTGGGTGTTTAAAAACATTCAAGAGTAAGGAAGAGGATTTGCTGAGAAGGATAAGTTGTGTCGCCCGATTCTCACCTCCTTAGTTTTTGCAGAGTTTCCTCCGTTTGGAATCCCATTGCCTTCAGACTCTTCGGGAATATGTTCAATTTTCTCTTCCTCCGTCATTTTTTGACACTCTTTTAGTACACAAATTCGGATAACTTCCAAAAGTTTCCAAACTTTCGGAAGAAAGTTTGAAGTTTTATGTCCCCCGGCTGAAATTCTCGTTTGTCTCGCTTTTTTTGTTGTTGGTGTTGAAAACGTCACAACAGTGAGTGCATTGCCGGTTTCCACATCAGAAGTTTTGCTCTTTGCTACACGTAGAAGGTCTCAGGGTTACGTCCATCCCGTCCTCAGGCTGATTCTGGTCTGGTCCCAGCGTCTGTTAGTAGCTACTACCCAGAGCTTGTGCTACCTTCAAAGACTAGCGGAAATATCGATCCTGGTGATAGCCAGTTCACTATGAAGCGAGGAAAAGATTTAAAGTACTAATTTTGGGCTATCTAATGTTTTTAAATGAAAATTTCCGTGCATAAATAAATACATATAAATATAGAGATAGGTTGAGTGTGTGGGAGAAGGTGGTTTACTAATTTTTTGGGGTGTGTTGCCTTCAGTGTTTATTGTATGAAGTCTTTTCCTGATGTTTAACGGAAAAGCTGAACGCAGCAAAAAGCATCATGTGACTCACAGCAGGATAACGGAAACGGAGAAAGGGAGGCGGTGAGCTCCCTGGTGTGAATGCCAAAGCAACTCTACAAATAATGATATGATCGTGTTAAAGTGTTTTTCAAAACTCAGTCTCATAATAAAGTATTTTATTTGTGAATAACCTGCATCTGTGTCCTGTTTTTTTGCGTGACAGCTTTTTTGTTTGCAGGGCAAAAATATTTAGAAATGATTTTATCCCTCACATTTTTAAATGTATTTACCTACTTAATCCCATTCAGTGAATAATTAAAACATCTGTTATAGATGTTATCACATTTGTCAGATAGTTTATATAGAATGTGAAACCAGAAACACTCATCTGAATTTCTGTCAAACTATTTCAAGTCAAGTTAAACATCAAAGACTACAGAACTTAGTCAAGATAACTGTTTCTAAAACTTGACTCGCATCGAAAACTTGGATTGCCTTCTTTTATCTCTATAGAGGAAACATATTAAGGAACTACTTAAATCCAAGTGATGCAAATGCATAGAGCAAGCATTTGTTACATCAAGATTAAACTAATGTAATTCCTCATTTGAGTGTACTAAACTTTCTGTGAAAAGTCTCCAGCTGATCCAAAGTGCTGCAGACAGATTTCTGCTTAATAAAAAACTAACAGGAGAGATCCTATTTGACCAGTTTTTGCTTCCCCTTCATTAGCTCACTGTTAAATTCTGAACACAATTTGATATTTTACACAATAAGGTATTTATAATAAGCATAATTCAATCTTAAAGACCTCGTTGTAACATTTTTTTCCATCGTTGTAGAACTAGAAAAACTGAAAATTAAATTTGCAGGCCCTCCTCTTAGGTATAAGTGCTCTGGGAAAAAACCTTCCTTTGTAATAAAACTTCCAGTTAGGGATTTCTAAGGTGACCATGAGTCATCCAATAGATATGTGAAGCTTTGATGCGATCTGTTAGTTTCATTAGCTGGGATTTATCATTGTCTCTGTATCAATTTAACTAATACTAATTTTGAATCCAAACCAAGATGAAAGGACATCAATTAAATGATAATACAATGTTATTTTCTATTACTGACAGCCAAAACACTAACCATTCTATGTTTTACTACACATACTGATGTATGGGACTAAATATTTCAGTGTCAACTATCTCTGCTGAAACACCTAACCTCTTTATTGGTTTTATGGACGATGTGTCATTTCTCCATTAATGTTCAGAAAGAGCATTTGTACAAATGTCTTTGTGTGAATAATGAATACAACCTTTCAATGGCAACAGAAAAAACTATGAGACAAGTTGATTCAGTGGTGTTATGCATCACAGCACACATCCTCAGGTTTACTTTTTTATTTCCAGCTATAAGGATTTCATTATATTTTCAACATGATTTACATTCAAAATAACCACGACCATTTAAAAAAAAAGCATTCATATGTGAACCCCACCTCACCCAAACAGCTTAAAGATAACATTTCCAATTTAAAATGGAATAAAATAATAATTTACTTTCCCAATGCAATACAAAGTTTCTATGTGTAAAAAAGTAATATGTTATCGTACGAAGTAACTCATGCACACAAGGTAAAAAAAAAAAAGATGTTATGAAAAATTAGGCTGCCTGTTTAGATAAATGAAGCAGACAGAATAAAAAATAAATGGAGAGCAACAAATAAATTAATCAATTTGCTTAAAATGCCCCAATTAAATAATGTAGTGTGATATGATTTTGTCCTCTAAATTCCACCATTAATTATGCACCATTGTTTTATGAAGCTCATTTATTTACTTTACTACCACTTTCTTTGTAATTAAAGTTACTTATTTAACCGTTTTACTATTCAACCATATTTCTTTCCGTCTTTATTTTGTTTTGATTCATTTTTCTAAGCCTGGATTTATTGACATTATATTTTCCCTTGAGACTTTCTTTCTCTATCTACTTTCTGTTTTCATTTTACGTTTACACAAAATGTGCTGTAAAAATACATTTTACTTGTCTTGACTATTTCTCTTTACATATATTTCAGCTTCACATGGTGGAAATGTAAGTTTTCATTGCAGTTAACACAATCATTCATTAATAAATGCAAAAATGATTATTAATATAAGTCAGATCAAGCCATGTAAAACCAAATCAAACAATCATGGATCATATATAAAAATAAGACACTGTTGGAGAACGTGCAATCAGCTTTTAGTGTAGAAAAAACTTAGGGGAAAAACTTATCTCTTTAAAAAATGCTATTTAATTTTTTTTTTTACCGACGTTAACTGTAAAAAGCTTATTTTCAAATTCTAAATAATTTTTGTACAATAGATTCTAATGTTTCTATACATTGTTTTAAATCTAGAACTTAGCCAAACGGCAGTGATTCCTTAAAAAAGTCGCCAAAAATGAGAAATTAGAAAGTGTATAGTTAAAATAATGAATAATTTAGCAAGAGATATTGTCAAAATACTGTATGAATTGTATTGATGTGTAAACATGTGAATTGTTACATATTTCTTTAAACTGTAACTGACTCATTTGCACTCAATTTGTGCAATTTTAAATTCAGTGAAAGATAATTTAGCCTGTTACACTCATTTGGCTGTGTGTCAAAATGATCCATTAGCAAATGCTTGTTATGCTTTCTTTCAGAAACAATTAAACAGTTCAGAAATAAGATACAAAAGCCTTGCTAATATCTGTAGTACAAATCTGCATAAACTATCATTTGGAGTGCAACAGTTAAGAGCAACTTCATATATTGCATCCCCATTCTTCTGTTAATCGACCAAAGGTCTGAGAATAGTCCCGCCGTAAAAGTACTGGTTGTTATTGTCTTTTTGTTTCTGTTGTTTAAGGAGATATAAAACATGCAGAGATGATCTGCAGAAAACAGATTTTATGGCTTGAAAAAAACAAAGCACAATTATCCTGTGGTCTCTTTACAATTCAAATGTTGAATCAAGCTAAAAGAGCCACAAGCTATCTTTTCATATTTTCTAAGCATCTGACTCTTGAGGATACATAAATGCCAGAATAAGCTTTTTTTTTGTCTGCACCTCTTTTACTTATTAAAAAACTCATATATATATATATATATATATATATACATATATATATATATATATATACATACACATATACATATATATACACATATACATATATATATTATTATATATATATATACACATACATACACATATATAGTGAAAATATTTCAATGTGAGCATTTCTCAAACAAATTAATATACTGAAGTACATTAGAAGAAAAATTATATTCTGTAAAAGAGTAAAAACTCTCAAAGGCAATATAGGCCCCTTCTGTAATAGACAGATTAGTGGGATAAGTTGTTCTTAACCAGTCCAGTTTTGAGGTACAACATGTTGGTAAAAAATAAGCTGTCTCTTTAAAAACAAAAACAAATCGACAGCCTGTAAAAGTAGAAGGGCAGTTACGTGTCTGTGGTGAGTTCATGTCTGTAGTGACAGCAGAACAGAGTAAACAACACAATGCGTGGTGGTGCTTGTTTCACAAATACTTTACCTTAAAAACATTGAAATTCTACTTTTTTACTATTTGTTATTTGTTTTAGGCTCATTCTGTTCACGTGAAACCATCCAGTGGATAATTTATGATTATTTGCTATTGAGACAGACTATTGAAGCTAATTAATTTTATCATAATATCTATTTTATTATTATAATAAGTCAATTTGCAAACCATCCACCTGGAGCTAAGAAATTCTGATTGTTGACATCTCAGTACAATCAAGTGTCAAAGCAGCAATTATTTTAGTTGATTGTGTGAGAGGTTTTCTGCATTAAAAAACACTGTTCATATAACTGATAAGCCTGCGGTTGTTACAAACTTGCTTCAAAAGGAGAACGAACAACCGTAACAACCAAAGATCACTTGTAAGGGAAAAATTCAACCGTTGGATAAAGTTTTATCCTATTACACTATTTGGGGATAGATACAAAACAAACACACAAAAACAGAGACAAAGCATTTTCATAGTCCTAATAATACAAGATGACCACAAAAGAATATGTGTGATTGTAAAAGCTAAAGCTAAAGATAGCGAGTGATTCACACAGTGTCTGGCAGGTTTTCAAATACATTTGAAATTTCCCTTGAGTAAAAAAAAAACAATCTGAACATTGACTATGCGATTTTCAAAAATGTCCAGCATGACAAAACTTTGTTTGTTCTGATTACACATCAAAAGCAGAGCTCACTGAGGGTGATATGAACTGTTTGCAAGTGACTAGCACTTACTACTGAGGCGATTTTGAAACCCAAAAAACAGTTTCTTACAGTTTCTATGAAGACAGTTCAAATGCACGTTTAAAATGAATGAGTGTATATATGAAAAACGCAACCTGCGTGCTGCTCGTTGGAACATTAATATGTTTTTAACCTTGACATGTTTTACCTGAAATTAGCCAAGCCAGTACTCATACTGCCTCAAATCAAGACAATAGTCAACAAGGCAGACAAAAGCAGAATCTTGGTCATCCAATCTTGATGGACTGAGTTGTCCCATCCTTCTTGTCCTGTCATAGGAGTTTGGGCCTGGATGGATTAGCCCTAACTGAGGAATAGGCCCCGATGTGTGTGACAAGGTTGGGTTCCACGCTGTGAGAAGTTTCCCCGGGAATCGTCCTCGCCATCTGGTATATCACCATGTCTTTGGCGTTGCCTTTGACGCAAAACGAGCCATCCAAATATTCCGCTGCCCTGACCGAGGCGTTGCCGGGGAAAAGCATGGCTGGGGTGCAGCATTCTGTGGCCGGCGAGACGGCGTAGAACTGCGGGGATATCCTCCGGGCCTCCAGCAGGTAGTGCCGCCCGAAGAGCTCGGCGACGAGCATAAAGTAGAGGGTGAAGAAGAGGAGGTGGCCGGCCGACAGGCTGAAGGAAAAAGAGCAGGGGTTCCAGTGAGAGACGGCAAGGAGAAGCGCCGTTGCCCCCACCAGCCCGAGTCCGACCCATTCCAGGATGCGATATGGCTCGGGATTCCAGTAACGCTGAAGTCTCTCGGGGTGATACAGCTTGATGTAAAGAGTGTGGAGGGCAAATCGTCGAGACAGCAGATCTTTAACAACGGTGAAAAAGTCCTGCCTCGGGAGAGCGTCATCCTCCAGGACGACCACGTTTCTGGGCTTGACCAGCTCCCATCCTTTGCGAAGACAAAAGACGTAATCCTGCTTCTCCTTCTCGAAGACGTTAATTTGTCCCCCGTTGGTCCGCTGCTCCTGAGGGGGACGTCGAACCACCCTGAAGTGGGATTCCAGCAGCATGGCGTCCTGGTTCTGCTGGGGCCCACTTTCCACATCGCAGAGCAACACCTCCGCACACGGCCGCTCCCCGCATCCCCGCACGAGGCCGCTTATCCGCCGCATCACCCGGAGCAGGTAGTGGAAGTCCCGCCCCTCGTTGCGCCTGGCCGTCACCACGGTGACCAGCAGCTCCGGATTTTGGGCCATTTCGCCGAATTTGGCCGACGCCGTAGCGGGAGCGCTCTGCCAGAAACGCAGAGCATCTTGACCCTCTTCGAGGCTTTCCCGGAGGACATCCTCACTCATGGAGTCCAGGTGCATCGACTTTAGAAAATAGTAGGAGTACACCAGTCGGTGGCAACATAACGGCAGGATAACACAGAACGTGATGACAGACAAAGTCAGGGCTTGTGCGAAAGGGCTTGACCATCTCAGGTAATGGATGAAGAATGTTTTCCATCGACGCATTTATGTATCAGCTTGGAGGAGATATTGACAAAAATTAGGTCAAAAAAGGTGAGATCGTTTGAGGATATTTAAAGATGATTACAGCAGAATGAACCGCTGTTCTGAAATCAAATAAATCCACTATCAATGAATGGTGCATCTGAAAAATAGTCATCTATTGGCACTTCTTTGTCTTTGTTAAGAGAGTGTTAAGGGATGCAGCTCAGTGCAGGTTGCCCTGATGTCTGTGAAAAGAGAAAGAAAGCTTTATTAGAAATTATATTTAGCAGTACAAAATCACCATTTGGTATATTATCTCTGCATATCATATAAAATGTTTGAAAATGTAGCTTTTTTTATAGAATATATAAAGGATTTAATGGCAGACTACTTTATTACAAAACTTTTGATAAATAAAGGACTGATGAAATGAAGAATTAAAAGTCCATTTAAAAAAATCTAAGGTTTTTTAAAGGAATCAGAGGAACAGTGTCAAAACCAGACCTAGAAAAGACCAAGCAGCAGGTTAGACTACTGTAACGGCCTGCTCACTAGCGTCTCTGAACAATAGAATAAACCTTAAAATAGCTCTGCTTGTCAACAAGTCTCTTCATGCTATAGTGCCAAACTACATTTCTGACATGTTACGAGCCAGATGAACCAGCTCAGACTCTGAAAACCTCAGATTCTGGTTTCCTGGTAGCACTCACGATTAGATTATATTAGTCTTTCTGAATATGTGGGACATGCCTCAACTATGACAATGTTTAAATGCTGAAAACAGCTCTGTTTAACTTTTCGTTTGACTAATGGATATATTTTATCTGCACTCATCACCATTAATCTATTTAATCAACAACTGTTATGTTTTGTTGAACTTTATCTCTATTTTCTGCTTTTTAAAGCACTTTGAATTGTCTTGTAGACAAAAGGTGCAATACAAATAAACTTGCCTTGTCTTGCCTGATGTTCTTCGGCTGTTTAACTTATTCTGCCAGTGGAAATCCACAATATGGAGAGGACATAATATGGTCAATCAAGTAATCAGGAAATTCTAGGAGTAAGTATGGCGTTATTAAAAGAAGCATTCTGTAATTTGCAAAGACTACTTATATTAGCAATGTTAGCTATGTTGAGCTATTCAAATAGCTCTAGTTTATTTGTTTAAAAATAGCTATACACCTTACCAATAAACCTAATTTACGGATGCCAATCCAACATTTATTTCCAAGCAAACATGTGTTCATATGTAAATGTTTACCCTTAAACCAATATGAAGAAAGGCATGGCAGTGCAAACAAAAACATGTTGTAAGGACCACAATCTTTCTCTCTGGTCTACATAAAAACACTGGATCTTTAAGTATCTAAAAATATACTAACTGTTTGCCTTTCTTGTGACAATTACTATCACTCCCCAATCTAAAGATCGGAACGTCGAAATCAAAGATCAAAATCCAATCGTTAAAAAACTATGTTCGTGGTTTGGTGGTGACTAACTGACAGTGTTACCGGTAAGACATTACTAAAAGTAGATCAGTGTTTTCGTAGTTTAAAAGCCGAGGGTTAGACTCACATACTGTGGAAGGGCCTATGCTCTCTGATAACGACTTCCATGTCTGTCGAACGTCACAACAACCTCATCGTAGGTACGGTAAAAGACTCAGCTCAGTACCGTAATACCGCAACCAGAGCGCACCGAAAGATCCCGCCGCCAACCGCTTGATGGTGCTACCAGTCAGAGCGAATCCAGCTGCACACTACCTGCCTAACCCCTAATGACAGCTGGAAAAAAGTGAGTATTGAAGGTAGACTGATGGGAACAATTGAAACATGTAGAGGTAAACGTGTAAAGCTAAGGCAACATGCATATATCCCAACCAACATCCCAATAATAACAATAAATGCAGTGTTTAAATAATTATTATTATGGGGGTGTGGAGAACAAGAAAAAAACATAGTCAACAGGATATGTGTTTGTATATATATATATATAAATATTTTTTTTTTATTGAGATATATATATATATATATATATATATATTAAAAATTCTTTCTTTTCTTTTCTTTTCTTTTCTTTCTTTATTTTGGAGGAAGTTGAAAAGAAAACATGCAGACACATGGGATATGGTTCATAAAGCATAACTGTAATAAAATCAGGTAGAGGTGAATGAAAGTCAAATAAAAAATATATATATATATATTTCACGATAATCAAAAGCTTTCCAACTACTATAATGCAACTTTAATGCAACTTAGGCTGAATGATCCATTTTATGTTCAATCTTGCTACGAACAGGCCCCTTTCATGTTATTGATTGTAGTACCTCTTCTTACACACACATCATATATTTTGTCTGTGTCTTGAATAGTTATGAATGCTGATTCTTAATTTGGCCGCAAATTTTTCTGTGTCCCTGCCATTTAACCATCAGGCTTTCTTCCATTTAATACGTTTCCCCTCAGAAATTTTTTTTAGATGCCTGTTGGTGCTTTGTCTTTTGTTGTTAGTGCAAAAGGGAAACTTGTAATGCAAGTTCAACTACATTTGACTCATTCTTCTAACAAGTGACTTGTTTGATGACAGTGTGCCCCCTTTGACCTGGTCTTCCAGTTCTTTTTTCAGGCAGATCAGGTTAGTAGTAAAATGAGAGAGGCGTTTACCTCTGTGAAAAAAGAGAAAGGAAAGCAGTAGTCTGTTAAAATAGAACCAACAAGAAAGAATGGAATATATGTGTGAAGATTGTGGACATCTGGGGATTCAAGACGATAATTTACCCTTCTCCCTAGATGGAAGTGGTTCCGACCCAATATCAGAACTCTTAATTCTTATAGAAAAGCCACCTCAGAACAAAAAATAATACAACTCTGTAATTTTCTTTTAGAAAATCATACATTTATTTCAAAATCAGTCTAAAGGAAAAAGAGAGTTGCCACCTTGTTGTCCTCTGACTTGCACTGTTGATTAGAAAAAAAGCTATATATAGCCAAAGTGGCAAGGAAGATAGTAGAAAATAAACTCCCCGTTTTCATCAGGTCTTAAAACAATGAGTCAAATAATTTATCCAACTTTCATTACAGGACTAGTTCTGCTTGAGGGAAAAAAAGGCGATACTGTCATTTTAAATCCAGTCCCAATCCATTCCAAGCCAATGAGAATCCAGTTCACTGTAAGGCAGTCATGATTAATTTTGGTCCAATCATTTCATTAATCCAAATGAATGAAGTTCATATAAAGAAAGCTTTAACAAACTGATTGCATTAAAACCTTTACTCAGATTAAATCCTCCATCCTGAACGTATATGAGGTGATTGTGGAAAGAAGCTCAGGTACTCAGGGAAGGTAGACATCTGCTGGGGTTTGAAAGTACAGGAAAGATGAACACAAACTCTTTGACACAGTCCCACGAACATATGCTAAGAAAGAGAAAACTAGATAACAACTACAACAATCTCATGTGTCCATAACCAAAGAAAAAAGCAATGAGGAAAAGTGGGTCATGCAATGTCTCACATTAAGACAGAGTATCTAACCCTAGTCCTCAGGGCGACCAGTCCAGCATGTCTTCCAGGTAATTAAAATGTATGTGCCTTCATAAGCATACTGCAAAGATTTAAAGAGTTGAGGAACTGATCCATTAATTTCTTTCCTTGCCTTCATCCGGCAAGTAATCAAGGTCTGAACTCAACAGAGATGACAGGTAGAAGACCAGTTATTGCAAGTAAGTAAAACACACACACACGCACAAAAATAAATCAGAATCAGAATTGGTTTGTTAAGCCCATTCAGGATTCTTATTGTATTTAATAGACTTTGACATTGCACTTACTACAAAAAGCTTAACAAAATGTTTAAGTTAAATCACTTCAGAACTCAATAAGTCAGGAGACAGGCTAGATCAGTGATGCCAACCAATTTTTAAGTGTGAAATGGAAACAGTGAAATAGAAGACTACATTTAAACTGATATGGGCTAGATGGAAGAACAACAGTATTGTATGACATTAACAGTTGTTTTTAGTTTTCCTCCATTAATCCATTTTTTACAACTGTTTATACCAACTCAAAGTCACAGGGGAGCTATTATTCGATGAAAGGCAGGGTGCACTGAGCACAGGTTAGACGTCCGTCACAGAGATAACTGAGAAAGACAACCAGGGATGCTCGCACTCACTCCTAACGTTGATTTATCAGCACAAACAGGAAGCAGGCATCCTTCTGTTCCCATGATATATATGTACTAAAATAAATTTCAACAAAGTCCAGGTGAGTCTGAAACGTCCAATAGTTGTGCTGGCATATGGCCGAAATGTGTCCAAACCCAAAGCTCCCAACTATTCCAATTAACGTTCCGTTAATGCTTAGATAAGTAATTTAGGCAGGAAAATAATTTATGAAGCACATTTGTTTATATTGTGTAGAAGAAGATAAGTGGCAAAAAAAGAATATTTGACGAACAATACAATGAAAAGATACTTTTAAATCCATTGAAGGGCCTCCTAATACGGATTATTAGTCATTGTTGTTCCATAATTGATGTGCAAAGTATTTTCTACTTTACATCCAACACTCTCTGTGATTTATGCATGAGATTGTTACTTGTGGTATTTTATCATCAGAATTATCTCTGATGAGAGTGTGATACGTTTTTCTGACATCAGAGTGACGTTAGCAATGAGCACAGACAAGCGTATCATTCATCAGGAATGTTACTTACTTTGTAAAAGAGCATCAAGGCTTTTTTCAAAACAATGACACAGCCCATCTGACATATTTCCTTTTTTTAAACCGTATGAAAAATATAATTTTGCTTGATTCCACAAGACACTTCTTCCACAAGGGATTCTCCTTAAGGTGGAATAAATGACAACAAAAGCATATAGCACTCAAATGACAGTGCATCCTTGAAAATTTTTGAAAATATTTTGCTTCAATATTAGCCTTGGTAGAGTTTTTATGATCTCCACCACAGCTAGAGGAATTTAGGGTGAGGTTGTTTTGGCTCTTGAAGCACAGACGTGTTCTGTCTGACACCAGACATATGCATAGAACTGGCCTTTCAGTGACCCACTGACCCACTGAGACATGTAGATGCTATATCTGACAAGCATCTATCCATTTTCTATATTGTCAAGTAGGATCACAGGAGGGCTTGAACCTACCCCAGCTGTAATTGGACAAAGATGTGGGGTACAACCTGGACAGCTCGCCAATCCATCACAGGGCATATAACTTCAAACGCATAGCACATGTAGGCCACAATTAATCAGCCAGCAAACAATAGTCTCTGTGACTAAATGTTTTAACGGTTAAAATTAATTTTTATAAAGTGTAAGGTCATTCCAAGCTAGTACAATAGACATCCAACTTTTCGGTGCTTGTGTTAGGGACACACTCCCTAACCAGGCCACTCCCCAAGTTTTCGGTAGACATTTTCAAGTTGTAGTTACACCCTGTTGTTATTGCCTTGTTTCACTGAGCTTATTGTCAGTATATGTTTTGGGTTTGCTTCTAACCTCGGTCTCTTTCTCTCGCTCTCTCTAAAACTACTATGCAGAGGCAGGACCTGTTAGACTGCTAACCAACTCGGCAGACAAAGCTGTTGTTTTCTATAGACTGACTGCAATACATTAACAGATGCCTAAATAATGTATAACATTGTTAATTAGGAAGTCTTTTACATTATACTAATGCTCATTGTAGGTATGGATCTGGTCTGTTGCAGTTGTCATCCTTTCATTAAGTATTGAGCATTCTGACTAGGAGATTAGATATGGAGACACTGTGCTATCTTATATCAATATCAGCAGGACAATAGACTCAAGGGTAGAAGGAAGAATTTGCCCACAGCTCAGGTTACATCCTTCTGTGGAAACAGAATCAGGGTGGAGAGCCTAGCTGCATGGACAAGAACCTTGTGAAGATTCCAAAGTCTGCCATTTTAAAAAGCTTTTTCTCTAATGTCTTTGTAATATAGGCGTATTAAGCTTTACCAGAATTGTATTTATTGGTTTATTTACTCTCTCTTATCTCTTGTGGGACATACAGATAACCTTTTTTGTGTGTTTGGTTGTCATTTTATTACGCAACTATTCTAGACATATGTATACAACAGTCGCATTTTACAGTTCCATAATCCACAAACCTTTTAACTCTATTTTATTGAAACATTTTAAAATATATTATGATGAACCAGGAAACAAGCGTGGTGATGAAGAAAATTCTGGCATTTGTGTTCCTAGAAAGTTTGAAATCTAAAGTCATTATACTAGTCTAGAATGTTCTCTTGGCACAAAATACCTTCTCTTGAATGTCTTAGCATCATCATACTCAACAATATCCAGTCATTTGTTTGTATAAGATTGATTGAACTTGCTGTCACTTGGTTTGGTCACAAGTTTAGAAAAGTACCGTAAGTAAATCTACCTTTGTTAGTTTGAAGTTATTTCAGTGACCATTGTACATATGTATGACCGAGGGGTACTAATAGATGAAAATGTACTTAAAATGAGCTAATGAAAATCATCCATCCATCCATTTTTTGTACAGCCTATTCCCACCGGGGTTGAAAATTTGACATTGCTTTTGAAATATGATTCAACATATTCATAAAAAAAAGAAAAAAATTAAACAGACCTGAAAATAATAATGATTTAAAAAAATGTGACCATAGGGAATAAACTAACGTGTGGTTAAACTAAGGTGTGCCCTCAATTAGCATTTGAGTGTCATGAATCTGCTCCTTGCTCCACCTATTGGGTACTATTCTACCACACCCCCTTATCAGGAAGCTCAGCTGCTCATTACTTTTGATCACTGCCACCTACATCTTGTTAGCAGCTGCTGAGTATGTGTGTATTTAAGGCACAGGTCTCCAGCCATTCAGTGTCTACTCGTCTGCGATTCAGAGTGTACCTTTTCGCTGGGCTTCCGCAAACTGATCTCCTACCTGTTTGACCCGACCTGCCTGTCCCGACAACGGCAACTTTCCTGCCCTGGATTACTCCGTCTGTGCCTGCCAACTCCAGCCCCAGCCTGTCCTGGAATCTGCTGTTTGCTCCACTCAGACTCTCACTCTCCCCTTTCCCTTTAATCAATAAATATCACCTTCTGGTATTCGTGAATGCACGAATACCAGAATATATAAAATATATAAAAATATCAATTAGAACGCTGTCCCCACAGTGAAATGTGGAGTATGCGTGATATATTCTGGATTCGCTTTGCTGCACCTGGTACATAAAGAACCAACCTCATATTAAGATAAAAATCATACTTACCTAGTTATTACTTAGTATACTTAGGTATAGACAAATTTTGTAATTTTAGGGTTATTAACTATGCATAAAACATGACAAAAAATGCCTCAATCAGTGCATTCTTGGTTTAAAAAATTACTTTAATTATTTATTTTGGATAAAATCAAAGTATATAAATAAGTCTAACTCAGAGCAAAGTATTTAAATCATTCTGGTTCTATACGTTCCTCAGATAAAGTAAAATCTTTGTCAAAATTGGAACTAGAGGATGTTGCTTGAAAAGACAGCAAAATGTTTTTTCCAGTGTGTATGAGGTTTGGGATGAGGGCTTTGTTTTTGTCCTCTGTATCAGAGTGTCTTCTCCATCTGGGCAAAGTATCCCAGTCAAAAGGATAGGATGACAGAAGGAAACCAGATCTATCAAGCCGATTATCCAAGGTGTTTGTTGAGCAGCTCAACTGCTCAGCAGGCAAAGGTTGCCAAATGAGATGTTTGGCATTTCTATGAGTTTGTTGTTTACAGGCCGAGGCGCTCACAAATGTAGGTGAGGCTTGATGTTATCTTGTGAAATGAAGTGCCTCTGCAAGTGAGCTTTTGCATTCTCAGCTAATGTTTACTTTGAAAACTAAATGAAAAATGTCTAGTTTTTATGGAAAATCTCGAGAAAAATTCCTAAAAACTTTAATGTTTAATAATGTTTCACTTGTAGTTGAATAATGTCAATGTTTACTTTGAAAACTTTGAAAACTAAATGAAAAATGTTTAGTTTTTGTGACAAATGTCAAGTAAAATCCCATGTTGGATTCCTGGCTAACTTTTGGAGAAGCCATTGGTAGATTGTGCCATTCTTTTAATTTCAATCTATATAGCCTGGAGATAGATCTTTTAAAAATATGCCTTCATCTGAGACAGTACACTTTTTAAAGAAGTTCACTGAAGATGTTTCCCAAAAAAAAGAACATTACAGATTTATTTTCCCACCACAGTTAACAATTAGCCAAAGTCTGAACACACTAAATTCTCAGCAGCATTTCTTTGTGAAGTCTTTAACAGGTGAAGTTGTGTGCATTAGGGTAAAATCTATAGGAGACAAACATAGTCAACAGGATATGTGTGTGTATAGGCGTGTTTCATATATACATATATATATATTGGGGCAGTATGCTTAAAAAACAAGTGAAAGGAAAATTTGGCAATTTTTTTTCCCAAGAACTTTTATTTTGGTTCACATATTAAACAGCTCTTTAGCGCAGGTTTCTTTCATTGTATGAATATAAATATTTCCCTAATTCCGTATGAAAGTTATTCTGCAAACCTTATTATAATTTCAATATATTGTCAACTTTTTTTAAAGCATTCAGTTAATCAAGAATACTGCAGCAAAGGGATGGACTGATGCAACCAAGATTAATAATGTTTCTCCAGTTTAAATCGAACTAGCGCTTTGGGTCTATAATATGAATCCACATTAACACAATAATAATGGATAACCTATAATTATTTGAACAATTGAATAGATGAATCATCAATCGTGTCTGATTTTACTCAAAGAAAAGCAAGCTGATGCAAAAACAAATTGTGCCAACACGTTTTATGCTCTTAAATTCGTGTTGGTGCAGTAACCCTGTTTGTTGTTGTTGTTGTTTGTGGGGACAGACCTTTTGAAGTTGTCACGGTGACAGCTGAGTCGTCAAATATTGATAAGTGCGTGTCACTGACCCTACATTAGACTTTCGTTAGACTTTCAACAACCCTGAGCATTCTTGGTCACCGACTTCCGACGTGCGTTTTTGGCTCTCGGTGGATGGAAATTCCGGTTTATCCAGTTGCCTTGTCCTGTTTTAAACCGCTGAAAGTTTTAATCCATCTCAGTGTCGGCATCGGTGGCAGCGACAGCAGGATGGCGTCCAACACCACTACAATGGGGAACCTTCCCAGTGGAGTCGGGATATGTACCACTATTCCCGACATCCTGTACCTGCCAGAACTGGTAAGAAACAGCAGCTGTAAGAATCTTGTAAAATATGGGGTAGATCCTTAGTGGGCTGCGTAAAGGTGCGCTCGCGGTCAACTTTGCGCATCTTTTACGCACGGATTAAAATTACCATCATGAATAGAATAACAGCAGTATCTACAGTGGATGGTAATATTAGGGGGTCGCTGTCTGTGCATGTGTCCAGTCTGACTTTTCCCACAAAAAAAGAAAACTATTTAGAATAGCTGATCTAATTCATTCCGGCTAGGTTTTCCAAGTGTCTGTTTTTAGTTTCTGAAATTAAAGAGGGCCTTGACTGTTTTTGTTCTGTTTGTTTCAGTGGTAAAACTTATTTTTCATGTAAGTTTTTGCCAACAGCGAATGATTTAGCTTTTTTGGATGTTGCATTGTGTTCCTGTTATAGGATCAGAATAAGAGCTTTCATGCAATGAAAGCAAGACTGATTCTCTCATGTTAAAAAAAAAGATATATATATATATCCCAATGCAGTGGAAGTTTTTAATTATGTTTTAATCCAGTCATTTCATATTGTTGGAAGAAGAAAAAGCCCACACAACCCTGTAATGTTGTAATTACACTACATGGACAGCCAGGGTTTTCCGTTTTATGTGTCAACAATATACAAATAATTTACTTAAGATTATGATTTTAAGCATTTTGATATGTTACGACAATAAAAGGAGACTAGTATGGCCAAAACAAAATATTTAATCACCAATATTATCTTCAATAAATGTATAAATAGCAACAAAAAAAATGCAATGGTTTCTTGACGCCTGTCTGACAAAATGGACCACATAGGCCGAGAGCTCACAATAAATGTGCATATTCTGATAACATCAGGCAAAGTTTGGTCAGCCAAATTCGAAGTGGCACGGCAAAAGGTGTGCCCGGGTGTGAATTTAAAGCCTCAATGTGGCATTACTGAGTGCACAGCCAGTGAGTTACTATAAATAAACACACGGCTGAATCACCTTGAGTAAAAGGAGTTTAAAAAAAAAAAAAAGTATTTTTGAGGGTCAGATGTCAAAGCTAGATAGAACAGATACCACCCCTGACATTAGCCTGTGTGATGAAGGTGAGATAACGAAAGCTTGTATGAGATAGAAAACTTAAATTACGTGGTGGAATGTTGCCGTTTTTCCTCACCAATTAACTCATCCAAGAACCCAAGTACACCCACATGCACACACACAGAAACAGAGTGTGTAAGTAGGTGGAATCTGACAGCAATTGCCGCAGGTGGAGGAGGGTCGAGCCACATGAATAATGCAGCATGTCAATCATTACAAGTCTAGAGTTAACTGAGGTAACAACACCTTATTCCGTGTGGCAGACCAAACTGGACAAACAATACTGAACCAATATTTTTTGTTTCTGATCTGTGAAATGAATAAAATGCACAACATGCTGATGAGTTATGGTAAATTTAGTTAAAAACACATAAACAAAATTGCAATTATCTTTAAGCCATTACATTCTGAAGACCATTAAAGTTCCTTGCTGGTTAGTTTTTCTTTTCTTTTTTGCTCTATGAAGAATTTTGTCTATTTCATTTTTAAGAATCTAAAATAGATCTGCTGCAGCCCCTAAAATAGGTTGTGTGATTTTCTTTTGGTGTTCCTTCAAGTTCCTATGATTTTTCCTCAGATCTTTGGTGGTCTGGTATGGATCCTGGTTGCATGCACGCTGGTGGTGCCACAAAATCCTCAAGGCTGGGTCATGTTTGTCTCCGTCTTTTGTTTTGTCATGACGTTCATATGGATTGTAGTGTTTGCCTGTGGGGGGCATCACAACAAGGGCACCTGGGCTGCTGCAGTAAGTAATATTTTTACCAGAGCCATGCATTTTTACGTATAGTATTTATGTGTAATACTGATATATTGCTTATTCTTACATAAGTAAGAGGTAGAAGTCCATACAGGGTCATTAAAAAGTTTTTTTTAAATGATATATTTTTAAATGTTCTCAACTTAAAGAAAATATTGGGCATTCTATTACTTCATATTTATCATTTTTCATTTCTAATTCTTCACTAATATCTGCATGTACATAGTCCATGATAAGAATGTACCCCTTGTACAAGTATTGTGCAATATGCATCAGCATATGGCATCCATTACCAGGAATTTTAAGATATATTACGTCATACTCTTGTGATGAATGCTCTCCCATCATGTCCACTGTTGCCTGGTTACATTTTCTTCATTTGTGAAAGGGGTTGAATATAAAAAAAGGAAAGAAGGAAGAATGCAACATCTCAAAATCTGATGCCCATGTTTTGTCCCCCTTGGTCAGGACTTTGCTTATCATGGAATTGCTGCCTTCTTCTACCTCAGTGCTTCAGTAGCTTTGGCTAGAGTGACACTTGAGATGAAAGATGGTAACTTCAGAAACTACCAGCTGGACATCTCTGCAGTGGTGAGTTTGCTTGTTCATGTAAAGATGATTGGCTTGCTTACTGTTTTATAACAGAGACATGTTATAAAACAAAATATAATGATAGGAAATAGCTGTTCAAAATGGTTACACAGATAAGACAAAGTTGTTTGCGCCTTTCATGGTGATTTGGCTTGCTTTGCTTCTCTATAGTTCCATCACATCTTCTTGTGGTTGTCTTGTTTCCCCTGTATAGACAGTCTGAAGAGTCTCAACCTTTCATATTTATGGTCCAATTCTATTAGACAAACAATGACTAAAATCATAGTTGTCATTTTTAAAGTAATGGTCAAGTCTTTTTTTAGATTTCTTATATCGCCTCATCATGAAGGGAGAGTTCAATAATGCTTTAACTGCTGTAATTTATTATGAATCATCCTGCAAACATCTTTGTCTTTTTCTTTTCAGGTTTTTTCTTACGTGACCACACTCCTCTACTTTGTCCACACAATACTATCTGCAATTCGATGGAAATCTTTCTAGGAATTTTTGTCTCTGCAATTCCAGTTTAAACATGGCCTGTGACATGTTGACATAAAGGGACAGCTGACAAACATCTGGCTTATCAGACCATTTTAGCACCCATCTGTCAGACATTTTTTTAACAGATAGGGTGACTCAGATTCAACCCTGAAGCTTTTGTTGGAGAACTGAAAATCTCAGACAAATGTATCCATTGATGACTGCCTAAATCTTTTACATTATATACAGTAAATTACACTTCACTTCATAAGAACTGCAGTAGATGTGACAAAAAAAACAACTGAATGTATATGAAGCAGACAGAAGTTCACTCTCTTCCGGTTTGTTAAAGAAAAACACAAAGGTTAAAAATGTATGTCGAGAGTTGCATTTGGGGCTAGAAATCTTCCAATAAAAATCACTGACAGAGAAGATTACAGCTTTAGCAAATCATAGAAGCAGTATCCAGATTTCTGTAATTGACAAATAGGCTTGCTATTGAGAAAATGTTACCTCAAAAATCCAACACTTTAGTAAATGTATTTCCAGAGCTTATTAATTATTGACTTTATTTTTTTTGTACTTCATAGTGTACGGTAAAGAGCCCATAAACTCCACCAACAGACTATTTTTTTAGGCTTAGGTTTTTATTTAGGTTTTTACTTTGACGATGCACTTTCGCTTGGTATTGTTTTAATAATGGCTGATTAAAGGAAGTGTCTGGTTAATTTTTATTTCTTATTTCATAAACTATTATTGTGCTGAAATTAAGCAAAAATAAACCAATCAAATAATTATTAATCAGAGTCAACATCAGGATTTATGTTTTTTTTGTGATGTAGGCCTTTATAGCTATCAGCTTAATTTTTGTAATTTTTTAAAACTGCTAATTTAATTGAAAATTAATAAAGTCTTTGTTTTGAAACATTTTAGTCTTTTCAGTCTTTTGTTTAATTCTGCTGAAGAAATGGTCTCGCCCGCACAATTTATACGTAATTCTTTTCATTCTTCTTTTCATTCATTTGAATACAGTATTTCTTTTTGAGTCAACTTATTTTGATATATCGTTGAACTTAAAGTACATATAGTTTAGGTATGGATTTTAATACTGTATGTCTCCCAGCTATCAATCCATTGTATAGATGCAGGATGTTACTGCACTATTTCTAATAGATAGACTATTAAGGCAAATGAGTCTCAGTTAGATCATTTCTGTGAACATAACATATAACAACAACAAATGAAATACACAAAAACAAGACTGGGCAGAAACTCAAACACTAATATTTCTCCAGTAGTGCCATTAAGCAAAGACTGTATACATCTTAGCTGTGACTGGTATAGTCTGTAAATTTTATGAATGTATAAAATTCAGAAATTCATATCACAGTCTGTTTACTATGAATTAGTCAGGAGCTTAAATGCTACAATTACAGGCATAAAGTCACAAGCCAAAAGGGGAACTTTAGAAAAAGCTGCCATTCCACCACCAACTTGAAATTTACTACAATAATTTATTCGTTACGGAAATTATGAAAAAACAATCATTCTTGTCTCACAAGAAGAGTTGGGTGCTGGGGCAGTATGGCTGAGGGCTTTTCTGTGTGAAGTTTGCCTGTTCTGCCCATGTATGTGTGGATTCTATCCAGGTACTCCAGTTACCTGCCATCTAAAAACATGGGTAATTGAACACGCTAAATTGCCCCTAGGGAGTGAATGTCAGTGTGTGGTATCGCTGTGTGGAGTTGGCATGTTCTTGTGTATGTTTGTGCATGTTTAGGTTCTGTCCCATTACTCCACCGTTAACTGGTGACTAGAAATTGACTATTGATGCAAGTGCACATGGTTATCTGGTTCTGTGATCGACTGAAACCAGGTATATCTCGCCTAATGAGAGTTTGGACAGGCTCCAGGTGCAGTGCATATATTCTTGAAATACACAGAAGATGGATGGATAGTTAGGGAAGCTATTTTTCTGATGTTTTCTGTTTGCATGTATGGTATTATTGATTATTAAGATAGCTTTCTCAGAGTCATCATGCTACTCGCCACATCTCAAGTTTGGTATGTTTTGAAGTCAGATTGTTTAGGTCAACAACAAAAGATCTGTGTGGGAATCTCAGGGACACTCACTTCAAGAATCCATCCATCCATTATCAATACCGCTTATTCCTTGATGGGGTCGCGGGGGGAACTGGAGCCTATCCCAGTGGTCTGTGGGAGCAAGCCGGAGAACCCGGAGAGAAGCCACGCAGACACAGGGAGAACATGCAAACTCCACCCAGAAAGGTCCTGGTTCCCCCGGGATTCGAACCCAGAACCCTCTTGCTGGGAGGCGACAGTGCTAACCACCACACCACCGTGCCGCCCGCTTCAAGAATATTTAGGGATTTCACAATGGGTACCTGGAACTTCCTTGTATCCTTCTAGATCAGGAGTTCCTGTATTTAAGACTTCTGCAACGGCTGTGAAGTGGATCTGACGGTTCTTCCCCCGCAACATCTCAAGACTACTGCTTTCCACATTTGGGTCCCCCATAACCATAATCATTGACACTAACAATTGGAGAAAACTCGACTTCAAATGCCCCTCCCTGGGTTGCCACCTCATCGTGATGGAGGGGTTTGTCCCAAGGATCCTGGAAGCTATGTTGTTGGGGCCTGGTAGGGACACCTAATGCTCACCAGTCTTAAGGAGTGATCAGTGCAGCCCAAAGACCCCTTATGATAAGTTACATAAATGGTAACAGTGTTCCCTCACCGGACAAAGGTCATCGGAGCACCACTCTGGAGCCAGGTCTGGTCGCCTGGCAAGCGCCTGGTGGCCGGGCTGTCACCCATCGAGCCTGGCCAGGCATGGCCCCACAAGGAAACATGGGTTCTTTTGATTTATGGGAAGGGCCAAAGGGTGTGCAATGAAGTATGGGCCGAAAGCAGGAACTGGCTCTTGGGATTTGGAATGTCACCTCTCTGTTGGGGAAAGGTTCCAGCTAGAAGTATCTAGTATCTCAGGGGTCTTGTTCATGAATAGGGGAAAAATAGAGCTGAAGATTGATAGCGGATCGGTTCTGTGTTGGTAATGATGTGGGAGCTGAATCTAAATTTACCGTTCGATCTCGGTTCCCAGTTACGTATGGTCATAAGCAACCCGACCCCAGATAAGCTGAAGAAAAGGGATGGATGGACTACAAATTATGATATGAAATGGAGCAATGAGGGACAGCAGTGTAGTAGCAAATGTTTCTCTACCACAAAATGTATCATACCTTGATGTATGTGACAGCATTACTTTGCCATCATGCAAGAAGTGCTTGTTTGACTAGACACAGACAAATCTATATTGTAGAAAAAACAAGTTGGATATAAAACAAGATGAACACAAGATAGATGGATCTTACCAGGAGTAGTTGAAATAGGCACTGAATTTATCCATCCATCCATTATCGTTACAGCTAATTCCCTAATGGGGTCGCAGGGAGAACTGGAGCCTATCCCAGTGGTCAATGGGTGAGAGGCACGGTACACCCTGGGGCCACACACAAGACATACAACCAGGTACACTCACTCCTATGGACAATTTGGAATGTCCAATCAACCTAACAAGCAGGTTTTTGGACTGTGGGAGGAAGCCGGAGAACCTGGAGAGAACCCACGCAGACAGGGAGAAGATGCAAACTCCACACAGAAAGGTTCTGGTTCCACCTGGGATTTGAACCCAGAACCTTCTTGCTGTGAGGCAATGGTGCTAACCACCACACCCCCGTGTCGGCACTGAATCCAAGATCACCAAGTAGGTATTATTGACGAAACAATCATTATATTTTGAATAAATTAACTCACATATTTGGGTTAATTGTGTTAAAGTAAGCGAAAGTATAATTCCATCAAACAGAAAAATGTATGTTTTTATTTTATGAAGATTTGATGGACATTAGTGCCATCTTGTGAGGAAAGCTGCTCCATACAATCCATTAAAGACCACTTTTTCCAAACTTCTTGTTTGTTTTGTGAAATATAGCAGGGTAAAGAAGAAATGGTAAAAAAAAATACTTAATTGGGCGTAACTGAATCACAATGGTAAAGATTTGCCTTGATGAGAATAAACTTATTTAAAAAGTTTAAAAATGACGATTAGTCATTGTCAGAAAATCTTTAGATTCATAAGATTATTTTTAAAAAGGCCATACATTTTAATCAGTCAAACTTACTTAACTGAAAACGACAACACACTGAGACATAATTACTTTTCCAACACGTTATAAAGCCAAGGATATCACCTTATCCGTCACTGAAACCTTACCTTGACCTTGAATAAAGCATTCACATTCATGACAGATTATTTGTACCTTAATGCCATGTAAACAAATGGAAACCTTTAAAGAGTGGGTACTACAAGTATGAGCACATATACACACAATATATGTATATATACAAAGTTGATCAGACTATGTAGCAGGTCAATAAACTATACCTATGATAGATAATTAATGAGGTAATGCTAAAGGTAATAATGGCGGAGCATCCTCATGAAATTGAAGAAGATGAAAGCCAGGTGAGGTTACACATCATGTGAGCATCATGAATATTCACCCCTCTCACAAACAAACAACTGTGAGAACATCAATAAACTTCTAAGCATTTCTCTGACATGGATATTTTAGATACCAATAACATCACAGACTATGATATAAATAAATCCTTTTTAATACACATTTCAATCTTTTAAAAATGTATTCATTAATTTTATTACATCATTTGTGAAATAGCCAAAGATTGGTCACTATCATATGGTCAAATCTGTTATGGACTAGGTGAGGACTGGACCCAAAAGCAGACACAGAACAGCAGGGTAACGAAATAACGAGATTTATTTTTGTGGAGGGAGGGTGAAGGTACCAGGGAGCTGGGAGGGGTATGCCCGGTCCAGGTGGAGGTGCCAAAGGTCCAGTGGCTGAATGAGATGTCCTTGGGGAGGAGGGCGGGAAGGCGGGCTGAAGGTAAATCCAAAAAGAGTGCTGACCAGACAGGACAAGACCACACAGGTCGCAAAACAGGCGTTGAATCGATTCTCTGAGAAGCAATCATCTGGCGTCAGACACTTGGAGAGTGCAGACATATAAAGGGTGCCTGGCTGCAGGTGTGTTGCTGAGCAGGCTTCCATCCTGAGCCTGCCCAGCCTGAAGCAATCAGCAGGACCCATTGAGTACGATCATCACACAAATCATTGTGTTATGGTGTTTTTTCCCTCCTCACTCTTACAATTTTCACATACCCAGCCAGAAGCCTTGGGTTAAAAGACCAAAAAGACAGAAACATCCTTTTTGAGACTCTACATCCTTGTTAAGCCACCTTTTCTGTTTGAATACCCTCAATTTCTACCCTTTCCTCCTCTCAGACCACAGTAAAATAAAGCAATTTTACATGAATTTAACTAGAAAACCGTGTTTAATTACAAAAACAAACATGAAAAAATACAACATTACAGTTGTTGAGAAAGTTTCTCAGCCACAAAATATGGGAGAAGAAAAAGTGTTCAAATCATTCCTATATTACTCATACAGTGTGCTGGAAGAAACACATTATATTCTGTTGATGCAGGTATTCATACAGTATTTTAGATTTATTTTAGATGCAGAAATTTTCACAATGTGCATTTAATATATGATTAAAAACCTCGTTTGAAAATCACATTTGTCCTTAGTAGTAGTGTCTTCCAATGGCAATTACAATGGCACATAAAATACACAAAAAACATACCACAAAATAATTGTTTTGTAACCTTAAAAGACAAATATTTACAGACCATGATGTGAAATATATCACTATATGAAATATATATCAGAAATATATCTTCCACAAATCAACTCTGGATGGATAAGCTCAGTACATGGAGCCCGGTACATGCATTTGATGTTTGTGTTACGATTTACAGTTATTCATAAATTGTTGAAGTATTATTAGACACACATGCAGTATTTACAAGTATTCTTCTGAGGCAATTTAATCCAATTCCAGTCAAAAAATGTCCCTGTTCATGTGTTCACTTGTATTTTTGACATTCAGCACACTGACATGAAATTCTAATGGACCAAGAAGATATTTGCTTGTGCATGTCTGTAGTGCATTTGTCAAAGAAAGTTTCTAAATGAGAAGTCTTATCTAAATGTTTCTATCTCACCATGAAGCTGTGACTCCTGGCACTTGTGCACTATATGCTTAAGGTGCATACGTTAATACCTGTGTCAAGTCCTCAACATCGAACACCTTTGCTTCACGCCAGTTTGGTGATGGTAACGCTGCCTTTAATCCATAATGTGTCAATGTCCAAGAGTGACATTAGTCTGTGTTGAAAGTCAAAAAGCTGCTGGCCATCCACAAACACACGAAATCTGCTGTGTTCACAGTGAATCTCAATCTGTAGAGAGCAGACATACAGTTAAATTAGTTTTATCAGAACTAATATTTTTATGTACATCTATCTATCTATCTATCTATCTATCTATCTATCTATCTATCTATC